ATAAATTTGGCTTTTATTAACTATGAGGAACCATTTTTTAAGCTCAATGTGTAAACAGAGTAATTGGGGAGTTTATGATGCACTTTAAAAAGCCTAAAAAGCACCATAAATGATTTTTGCTCTAATGCAAAACCTAATGGTTTTATAGTTGGTTTTATAATGATAGAACACGTTTGTAAAGTATTTTATCAAGACATTAATAAACAATTGCTAATGACATTTATGCTTGAATTACAGAGCAGTTTTAAGGAGGGATTGAGAACTGTTTTAAATTTATTTTTAAAACAAGACAGTTTTTGACTTTCTTGACAGACTATAAAAGGTTTTTAAAACAGTAAAAAGCTGAATTACTAAGCAGGAATGTTGAAATGCTGTATTTATACTAAATGGTTTGTCCATTGCCGTTAAAAAACCATCATAAATCAGAGTGGATGCCACATGGTTACTGAATTGTTACTTGGGCAAAATAGTTCAGCAAAAGTTTGTTTTCTTGAAAAACTCGAACACTTCGAATCTGTTTGGACACATTTCGATACTACAGACATTATTGCAGTCTTGGTTGATATAATAGCACTGAACTCCGGTATACATGGCAATTACTCGCATATATACGATTCGTTTATGAATGGCAACGAAAAATGCTATGTTCATATTGGAAATAAAAAGAAACACGAAAATGTCTCACATTGGACAGATCATTTCTCGATTACTTACGGGGTGTTTGGTTTGAACCGGTAGAAAATTGAGAGCCAAATGAACAACAAAATTTATGACACCAAAATAATCCGGGACGGAAAGGTTACAATGAATTACACGATTCACACACACACCCAAGTAACATTTTAAGTTTTATAAAATACTACAAAGCTACTATAAAACAAAATTCATAAAACCCTGGTCAAGACTGCTTTGTCATTGATGCATCCACCAAAACCTCATTGATGCTAGAATCTTGTTGCCCTCCTGGAGAAGGTTCTGAAGGGTATATTTTCGAAGATCTTCAAGATTGATTTACTGCAAAATGGTTGTACGATAAACACATTGAGATCCATTTCAAAACCGTATTTACGCTACAATCAAAGCTATTTGGCAACAATTAAAACCATTATCCGAACCATTTACCCTAGCTGCTTGCTAAGTTCACTAGAAAAACAACAACCAAGATAAAAAGGGATTCATAAATACCATCCGATCTTATCAAAATAATTAAAATAAAAAACTGATCGTAAAAAAATCCTGGCGAATTTCCAAAACTATAAAATAGTTCTCATGAAGCGGCCCAGTTTTAGGTGCCATATAAAATTTGATGTGAAATGTACGTGAAAACATCGAAAAACTTGAGTCCGCCCACGGAAAACATCGATTTTACTAATTATTTTACATCATTTCACATCGATAATTAAGCTTAGCCAAGATTTTTGTTTTTCATGATTTTTGCATTCTAATCTAATCTAATCTAATCTAACACCAACACAGCCAGTTCTTGAAAGCATCCTGGAAAATAATGGATATACCTCCATCATTTTTCTTGTCCATTTGATATATGTTTCACATCAAAGATGCGTCACACATATCAAAAGGGCCATGCCTACTGTGCAGCATTTAAAGGGCAAGATGATTCAGAAAACATCGGGCCTGTTTAAATCAAAGATTAAAACACGATGCTTCAGAATCCAATAAATGGATGAAACGTGGACATCTCGTACCGTACGTTCCGATTTTGGTAATTATATGATTGGTTGGTCGTTGGAAGCATCAAAGCTAGAAAGGTTAAGTGATGCTCCATTTTCTTCTGACGGTTGGGGCATGAGCACTAACTCTTGTCCTAGCCTCTTATGACTTATGGCTATAGCGCCATTACTCGCCTTCTGAGAAGAGAAGAGGGAAAGGAAAAGGCGTAGCTAGACAATTTATCTGGAGGGGGCCTAGATAATTCTGGAAGGGGGGCCTAGATAATTCTGGAGGGCACCTGGCCCCCTGGCACCCCCATTATCTATGCCTATGAGAAGGACAAAGGGAAAAGGATTATGTGAAATCTATGAACATAAAGAAATATTTTTGATTTGAAATATACAATATAGTAATGCATAACGGCGGTGGTCGCTACCCGAGTGTCACTATTTTCACTATTATCAAGTCATAAAAAGTAGCAAGGACTAAAATGTGATCCTTTGATAACTGGAAATTCCTGATTCCCTAGATTGAAGTTGAAACGACTAGGGTTCGGTGGAAGATCTAGACCAGTAACACACCACAAAAAGGTGATCTCCCAAAGTTACTGGTTTGATAAAGATAAAATGGAACGAACTTACCAAGTTTTTTGAACCTGCAGGCTGCTTGACATGTGTTGATGTAGAAGTCCAAATTGTAGACGAAGCTTGACGAAGCTCAACATGAATTAATTCGGTTTATGGTAGTTGCGCGGAATGTCTTCCGTCGATATGAGATAAACTAATGTTTGGATGTATGTAGTCGAATTTTAATGTGCATTGGCATGCCTTTTCGTGGCCAATAGTCAGGTTCAACGCTGCGACTCAACGAATGATGGAACTAATGATGGGACGAATAATTGGACGCCTCGCGGAGGTTCTACTTGGCTTCGGAACAAATAATAGGGACCTAGAATGAAAATTTAGAAATTGTCTCTTGGGCCTGGTTTTGGCCAGATCTGCAACCGATTATAGACTAAAAAACTCCACGATCACCGGCACAGCCTACTCCTTCAAAAAGGATTCGAATCACCAACGTTGAGATTAACAGGCTTATGTCTTCACCACTGGTCTATCAACGCTTTAAGGTTTTGAAATGGCTTTTTTGAAGGAAACTTGCAGACTGAAATGTATTTATCTAAAGCCATTTTGCTTTCGCATTTCGTACAGCTGTAACCTCGATCATTCCCGAAAAGATCCCCATCTTCCGGATGGTTCTGAAGGTGCAGCATCAAACGATGCAGGAATGTACGGTTGAATGATTTTTTTTTTCAAGAGCTGACCCTTTCGCCGAATAAAATCGCAGCTATGGATCGGAAACCAACTACTGTCCGCTAAATGACAGTTTCAGTAGTTTGCTGTCGGTACTGACGCAATTATTCCGATCTTCATCTATTCGCAAGGTCTGGAGAAGGCTGGTCTGTTTTCAGGCTGTATTGACAATGTTTTATGAATTTGAGGACCACGTTCACTTCACTTCCACCAGATGCTCAGTCGTCGATGGTACTTCTGGTTCTTCTAAAAAACTAAATTTTACTGAAATCGACTTCCCTTCGGTCGTTAGCATCGCTTGAATTTTTCCTCCAACTTCGTTTATCCTTCGAGATATCCTTGTCATAAATTTAGTTTTTATTCCCTATGAGGATCCATCCTTAAAGTTCAATTTGTAAACAGAGGGGATTTTACGATACACTTTTAAAAGCCTAAAAGGCAACAATATATGCATTTTACTCTCATTTAAAACTTAATGATAGAACAGGTTTAAAGAGTATTTTATCAAGACATTAATAAAAAAAATTGCTAATGAAATTTATGATTGATGTATAGAACAATTTTATGGTGGGATTGAGAACAGCTTTAAATTTAATTTTAAAACAAGACAGTTTTTGACTTCTCGCCAGACTGGAAAAGGTTTTTAAAACAGCGAAAAGGTGAACTACTAAGCAGAAACGTTTAACACTGTGAAATGCTGTATTAAAACTAAATGGATTGTTCATTGCCTTTATAAAACCATCATAAATCATAGTAGATGCCAAATGATTGCAGAATTGTTTTTGGGCAGTCTCTTCGCGATTTTCGCGACATCATTTAATGTTTCCGTGATTTTCGCAACTGAAAGTTCAAATTCGCGACAAATCGGCGAAATCCACGCCTGTTGTAACAGCCCTGAAAACAAGGTTGCAAATGCTCATTTCAGCTAAAATAATGTTTTTCGGAATAATAAAACCAAAATATGGTATGATGGCATGTTTTACTTGTAACTTACAAGAAGAGGTTACAAAGTATGCGTTTTGAAACATAAAACCTGTAAATTTTGCTTTCTATGAGTCACAATCAGCGATTTTCTGATCGCTGAATGAGTGAGTGAGTGAGTGTGTGAAAAATCGCTGATTATGACTCTCATGAAGTGAAATAAACAGGTTTAATATTTCAAACACATGCTTTGTAACCTCTTCTTGAATCCTACCAATTCAAAATATAATCATGGCATCTAATTATTTCATAATCTAAAAAATTTTGTTTTAGCTGAAATGAGTATTTGCAACCTTGCCTGAAAAGTTGAATTGATTCCTCAGTTGACGTGGAACTACTCAAATAGTTGGATTATTAAATACATTCGCGTAAAATTAAAGTTGTACAGTGTACACTAGACTGATGCAAAATTTTTTTGCTCCATAGTCCTCAAACGGTTTCAAATCAGGTCCTGATTAGGCTCCCAAAATTTAAACTTATTTGGTAAGAAATTAACTTGGCACAAACTATTCGAAGTTGTACACCCAACCGGGAAAACTAAGATTCTATTACTGATTTGCATAAAAAAAATATGCAGAACTTGCAATGTTTAGCAAAATGACAGGTTTTGTAATGTGGGTGCTGTAATGTTTTTAAAATAATTTTGTTATTTTCATGTTAACTTTTTTTTCGAACAAAAATTGTTTCCCCAAATTAATTGCGTCTAGAAATTCATCTCGTAAAGGGTTTGTATAAAAAAAGGGATTGAAAAACATGCTTGTACGCATTGCAAGAGCTGCCATTACATTTGTTGCATGAAACATATGCAGAGGATGTACTACATCCATCCTTACATTGGATGTAAGAGAAATTTGTTTTGCGTGTCTTGCTGTATGATCCAACTAAAGCCAAAAATACATCAATGTGCCAAATGTAAAATAACAAAACTTTTGCTGTGTTTACTCGTCGTTTGCTAACTGAATCATGCTTAAACAGGAACTTCTCTGTAATTTCTGTTGTGTACAAACAAAATAATAAATTTGTCTTATCTCATTTCAGGCGCCAAACAGCCGAGGAACGTGAAGCGGAACGACAAGCGGCAAACCGGTTGATGCTCTCCTTACAAGCGGAAGCTCTCAGTAAAGGCTTTGGTCAGCCTCCGCCATCAGGTGGGCAACCGAACAGCGTTCCAGGGGCACCTCTGGCTGCACTGCATGGACTTCAACCGTGGGCTGAAGCACACACTGCGGGTTGCTGAAGGAACAGCGCTATTAGGCATATTGAGAGGACTTTCCTTTACCATCTTTAGAGCCGTAGCGATATAGTAATAAAAATTTCTTTGTGATATATGAAATTAAATTAGAAAAGGAGATCACTTGAGCAGGTTCTGCTAGGTTAGGAACGTTCATAAAACCTGTAAATTTATGTAAATAAATGCGGATAACAAAAAGCAAGAATTTATCTTATTGTGTAAGATAATTCAAAAATCAATATCATAATGACAAAAAGTAGAAATAATAACGTATTTACTTAGCCTCATTGTTCTTTATTTCGACGCTGACGTCAAATGTACAGCTAATGTTGAAAAATACATCTTTACATGCATCAGTATTTAAAAGGCATCATTTCCACGTTTTATGTTGTAAAGTTTAGAAACTTTTCAAATGGTTTGACTACCAAACTACCTTTTTGTCAATAATCACGACAATTTCACACGCAGTTAAATAGCAAACCATGCTCAGAAAAGCATGATGGAGTACATAAAAACATGCTACAACACAAATAAATCATCTTCAACTGGCAACGTTATGCAGTGCAAGGTGAGAAGCCGATAAGAAAACAACCCATTAGCACACGATTAAAAAAGGCAAAGACATGAACCATGTAAATACTATTTCCCATCAACCGAAGTAAATATTTAAGCTAAATAAATTAACGCATCAAAGAGCAGTAATTAATAAACATTTTCTTTTCGACAAAGCACATAGCATTCCGAACCACAAGCTTCATTTTAGCTTAAGTGAGAAACTCCTTCCCGTTCGCAAAAAAAACTCTCAGAATTGAAAGGATGAAAACGTTGTAAAGATAAGGCCATGTGAGAACGTCAAGCGAAAAAAGATACAATAAAATAATTAATAAACCCATACCGCAAACATACTGATAAGTACGAACTATTTCAACGAAAGAAACAAAAAACATATGGTATGACATGGGCTCTATAACGTACTTAATCCTTTCGGCACGAACTGCGGTGAGATTGGTGCGTTACTCAATTAAAGGATCCTTTCGTTAAAAAAATCACTTTCCGCTTACTTTTTCCTGAGTGATGTTGAGATTTATAGATGGTTTTAATAAATGCATTAAGGTGCAATTCGTATGCAGAAGTAGAGAGAGAGAGGAAGTACTTTTTACCGGTTAACGATATCAATGACTGTGTGAAAGGAATCTCTCGCTGTCAGCGAGTTTATTCAATCATCCGACCAAATTTAATTGCTCAAATCCCTGAGGAACCGCACCATAAAATCTAATCTGATAGGGCTATATGGAGTGATCGCTCACCAGCAAACATAGCAACCATTTATCCCTCAAACAAGTGCCAATTCCCATCACCAACGCTTACTGTGCACTTGACATCATGCTGGGAAAATTCATTCTCTGCTCTGCTACCATTACCTCACTCCCATTGAATTGTGCCTAACATGTCGGTACGGCAAGTGACACACATAATAAAATCGGAAGCAGACGCTAACCTTAAAATTATGATATCCCTCTCGTCCTGCAGCTGGTTCGAAGCCAATGCATACACAAAACATCCCTTGCCAAGCCGTTTGCCGAAAACGCAGTAAACGATCAACCCCCTATTCGTTCCAATTGTTTAATGATGAGAACTATATTATATTACACAAATTTTGCCAGTCCATTTTCTGTGAATCACAATTGGAGGACTCCCCTCTTGGTGGCATAAAAATGTAAACCATGTACATTTGGTTATTGTCACTCTTCAGAAGAAGTCATGATACATGAGCAAGGGGGAATGTATTATTGAAAATGTTAGCTAGGTGTATACAATTATTTTTGGGTTGATTAAGATGTTTTATTCTAGTACATATAACGCAATGTGACTTTGATTATTTGATATATGGTTTATTATAATATCATACCTATAAGCAAAACACTGATAACACTAACTATTTACTATATATATACTAATAGACAATATCTTAACACTGATAGCTATAGCTATTAGTAGGTTCTTCCGTTCCAAATCATTTCCTGGGAATCCCGTTCATCCCGGGATTGTATGCCATGGTTTAAAATTTTAATTGACACTGTTTCACTGTTTCTATTTTTAATTTGTGTGCCACATAGATCTTTCTATGATTATATCACGATTATTTTACGAGACTCTGTTGTACGTTTGAATACACTGGGGCACCACTGAAGCTATGCTGGAACGTTACAGTAAAATATACGATTCCACGACGATGACGAATCCACGGTAATTTGAAAAAAAAATACAAGTGCTGACCGGTTGGATACACCTTAATGATTTTGTAGCCCTCTTCTTTCAATCGGATCTCGATTCAATCGTCAATCGATTTGATCAAAGCGTCGGACAACGTTGATGAGTTGACAATCTGGGCCATTACGCCGCCACGAGTCCTCCACACACGGCTACCTGCTGAAACATGAACACAGCTGGGTACCGTAGGCTGGTATCAATAAAGATTTTTTCCTTGATTTTTATTTCCGTCGATCTTGTTTTCCGAGCTGAGCACCAATGCTACCGACGCCAGAGAGGCAGCTCCCACATCTTGACCCTACCCATCAACTCATGAACCGAGGGCCAACGGCTGTACTTCCCTTCCGAAGGAGCGTGATCAGAGATGTTATGCCTCAGAACATCCCGGCGGTGCCGACTGGGATGGAACCCAGGCCTGCTGGGGTGAGAGGCAATCACGCTATCAATAAAGATTGAACTCGAAAAAAAAAATGCAACACTTTCTTTTGTGTATAACTTTTTTTTTCGAGTAAAATTAGTTTAGATTATAATGTTTACCCCACACCACAGCGTCCTAACAAGAAGTACGGTCGACTTGTCACGCGCTCCGTTAATTTGGAAGTTTTCTCGCTATTATCTGACGTAAATAATCAGTTTTTCTCGCTTAGTGATTCCTGGCATAATTCCCGATAAATTTATCAAAAAGTGAGTTTTTTTCTGAGAAGAAAGTGTGTTTTCGGCATCATCGAACATTGTTTTTGCGATTGGCAATTCGCCAATCATTTTGCGCACCATCGGTGCGTGGTCACGCATACCTGTGCACACGGATCATCGTCATCGAGTGTCAGCATCTGCCTCCACATTCAAACCGCTCATCCATCATCGTGTGTGCAGCTGAGTGCCGAGCTTCATACAAGCACACATCAACGAAGACCGCCCGCACACGCGGATCGAAGATCATCAAAGCTGCGCGTCGCTCCGCTGCTGCTGTGTAAACGCTCGGTGATAGTAGTATAGGATTATCAGATAAGTTTTTGTTCTTGTTTCTTTCTTTCTCCCATCTCTATTGAATTTTAAGTTTGTGTTTCTGTGTTAGTATTTTTTTTTTTCTTCGTGTATTGTGTCCGAGTAATTTTGATTATCGTTGCAGTGGTAGAGCGTTTTTCGCTCCCACTAGTACGGCAAAATGGACATTTTGTCGGAAGACGAAATGGACGTTTTGTCGGAAGATGACACCACCTTGCCACGCGATAGCAAGAAGGGTCGAAAACGTCTGTCATCCCAGAAATCAGATGATGCCATCCCTGCTTCGTCATCTCAGTCTGGTAATGGACAGGGACAGATAAGCCCCCGATCGCGAGCCTACCCAGAAGACTCGACTGGCCCATGGGTTGTTTACTTTCAGCCCAAAAAGAAACCTTTGAATGTAATGCAAATTACTAATGATCTGACGAAGCGGTTCTCGGCCGTGACCGAAATCTCGAAGGTGAGGTACAATAAACTTCGCGTTGTCGTCTCTAACCTGAAACAAGCTAACGAGATTGCTGCCTCCCAGCTCTTTACACTCGAGTATAGAGTGTACATCCCAGCTCGTAATGTGGAGATCGAAGGTGTGGTCACCGAAGCGAGTCTGACCCCCGAGATCTTGGCGAAGCAAGCGGTTGGCCGTTTCAAGAACCCCTTGCTTCCCACGGTTGAGATACTGGAAGTCCAGAAGCTGAACTCAGTATCTTTCAGCGAGGGTAAAAAGAGCTTTACCCCCACAGACTCGTTTCGGGTGACCTTTTCTGGTTCAGCCCTTCCTCACTACATCGAGTTGGGAAAACTTCGGCTACCTGTGCGTTTGTTTGTTCCTCGGGTCATGAACTGCCAAAACTGCAAACAGTTGGGACATACGGCCTCTCACTGTGGCAGCAAGGCACGCTGTTCCAAATGCGGGGAGAAGCACGAGGATGGCACCTGCACAGTCACTGCACCAAAATGCGTGTACTGTAAGGGAACTCCTCATGGTCTCTCATCGTGCCCGGCGTACAAACAACGCGGGGAGAAACTAGAACGCTCTCTTAAGGAGCGTTCCAGGCAGTCTTTTGCAGCAATGCTAAAAACAGCCACACCATCAACCAACGACAAAAATCCCTTTGCTGTTTTGTCTGATGACGAGTCTGACTCTGACTTGGCTGAGGAGGGAGTTTCTTTCAGTTTTCCGGAAGGTTCTGCACGGAAACGAAAACGCATCCGTTCGCGGAAAGTTGCAGATAAGGAACCCCAAATCAGCTTGCCCAAATCAAGGAGTGATGGAAAAAAGGAAGTTTCAACTCCTCCTGGTTTCCGCAGAACTGACTATAATCAGAACTTTCCATCTCTCCCGGGGACATCAAAAACCCCTGATGGCCCATTTTTAAGAACAGAAGCCCCTTCTTCATCCGGGTTGTTCTCATTTGATAAAATTGTGGACGATATTCTCAAGTACCTCAGTATTTCTGATCCTCTCAAAAGCATTGTTCTGGCAATGCTTCCTTCTGTGAAGACCCTCTTGAAGCAATTGACATTGAAGTGGCCCCTCATTGCAGCAATCATTTCCTTCGATGGATAATTTTCCAAACGAGGTCGGGGATTTGATCACTGTTCTACAGTGGAATTGTCGAAGTCTCATTCCTAAAGTAGATTCTTTTAAGTTTTTAGTTCACAATAATGATTGTGATGCATTTGCTGTTTGTGAAACTTGGCTCTCTTCAGATATCGATCTTCCTTTTTACGATTTTAACATTATTCGACTGGATCGTGAGGATTCGCGTGGAGGAGGAGTACTTTTGGGGATCAAAAAGTGCCATTCCTTCTATAGAGTGAATCTTCCACAATTTCCAGGTATTGAAGTTGTCGCATGTCAGGCTATTATTAAAGGTAAGAGCCTTTGTATTGCTTCTGTTTATATTCCTCCTAGAGCCGTTGTTAATCGACAACAACTTTCAGATATCTGTTCGGTACTTCCTGCTCCACGGTTGATTATGGGAGATTTTAAATCCCACGGTACAGGCTGGGGGGAACTGTATGATGACAACCGTTCTACTTTGATATATGACCTCTGCGACAGCTTTAATATGACAATTCTTAACAATGGAGAAGTAACACGTTTGGCTGGCCCATCCTCGAATGGAAGTAGATTAG